TGGCCATTTATCGGGCTGGTTTGGGGCTCGACGCCCTGCAGGCGAAGTGGGACTCGCGCGCGTCAACTGGGAGCACTGTAGTGAGTTGTTTTGATGGCCTAAAGATTGGTTCAAAAGCAAGCCAAAGGAAAAGCCTTAAGGGTCCAAATCCCCATCTTCACACATACCCAAACCTGAGCCAGAAGTTCACTTTTTAACTTTTGGGGAATACCTCACTAGAGGCAAGGCAAAGTTAAACTAGGCCATGGGCTCAGTGATTGGACATCTTGGGGTCGTTCGATGGGATCTTTGGCGGTGTCGATGTGCACTTCGGCCAGGAATCCGAGCTTTGCCTTTTGCACCGGGACCATATGGATGCGATGGATATCTCCATTTGCAAGAAGTGCCGGCCTCGGAGGGTTCCCTAGAAATGCAGATTACCTCCAAAAGCGGCTTCTTCAACTTGAAACCAAAGTGGACATCGAGCAGGAAAGGGGAGGAGATGGAGGAGGTAAAATTTGAATGCGCGCTTTATCGCTTTGAGGGGGAGATGCCTGAAGTTGTTGGCTTTAGCCGTTGATTGAAATCTACCAAAGATGGGGTATGCTTAGCTGCCAACCTGCAACATGGGTACGAAGCGAAGAGCCAGAGTGGGAGGCAGCCTAAGCAACGGTAAGAAAGCTTATCAGAAGCTTCTTAGTTGTCAAAAGAATAGTTGTCCCAGGTTGCTTAAAGGCAGCATCACTGGTTGTTTACTACATGGATTGAATATATGGTCTGAACGTTGCTGCTCAGATGTGGCCTTGCTACCACATGATGTGTCCAGTGCCCGCAGGTACCAGCGGACGAATGAGGAGACCTATGTGATTGCACTCATAGCCACCTGGCATGCGTAAATTTAGAGCTGCTGTGTGTCAGACACATTTCTTCCCGAAGCATTGTCATCAAGTTTGGTCGATTGGAAGACAGACTCATCCATTGAGCCACCAGCCTCACTCACGTCATGGCAAACACGTTGAACTTGAATGAATGAATTGATTCTCATGGCCTTCCAACACTTTGGCAATGCTCCAACTTGTTTCCTGGTGATGGCACTTCGCTTGCCAGCGCCAGTTCCAGAACAATGCTGGATTTTGGTACACCCAAGCCAAGAGTGGCAAGTGCTTTGAGAATGTGACCTCTACATCCACGGCACTTGTAGCGGAGGGCGATCTGATTCAAGTCGCTTTTCCCCTGGATCCTGGGGTGTAAGTGATGATTATACACTTGGCGCACGTACTCTAGGCGACGGCTTGGACCATGACATGGATATGTTTGTGTGTGCGTATAACAAACGGGTGGGGTGGTGGACTATTCTTCCTCGTGTTGTTTGCATGTTGCATTTGATTTGATTGGCGCAAACAGCCAGTCATTCCTGGACATCAAAGAGCACTCAACTCGACAAGCATCGATGCATTTGCTTGCACTTTTCATGAGCGCAACTCGTCAAAAGGCCGGTGCCGAAGGAGCATTTTGAAGCGTTACTGGAACGAATGCCTGCATACCAGTCAGATTGGATTGAACCCAATCGAATGCCCTTTGAAGAGAAGGTTGGTTCTGGATTGACCTTCCGCAGAATGAAATGCAAAGCCCGGTGGTCATGGGAACAAGGAGCACCCATGTTTTTCCTTGGCAGGCAACCCCCATCCCAAACGAAGCTTTTGGGCACAGGGCGTGACATGAGCAGAGGTGGTCATCAGCTTGCTGGTACTTGCTGCACTGATGGGCGGCGTTGCCTTCTTCGTGAGCACTGCTCAAGCGAAGCGCCGGCTTTGGAAGGCGAGGGAACTCGAAATCTGGGGAGGTGTCAAAACCTCCATTTGCTTAAGAATCAGAATATGTTCTATTTTCCCTGGTTGGTTTTAAACGGAATTCATCACTACTGGAAATATGTTATTTTTTTTCCTGGGGCCTTAACCAAATGGAAGAAAATAATCAACTCCCTCAGCACTCACAGAAAACCACAAATTTGTTGAACACCAACACTATGGACGCCCCCTTGTTGACCAGCCAAAGATGAACAGCTCTGGGCAAATTGTAAAGCAGGCCAAGACGCAAAGCATTCCTGCAGAGCGCACCAAGTTTGTTTCATGCAGTGGTTATGGACCTGGGCGTTATGCCGAATCCGTACAAAACAAGCCTCCATTAACCCACGAGGGATTTCTTTGCAGCTGGGTGTGATCGTTGCCGTTTGTGCTTTGCTTTGTCTGCTGCTCCCTGATAGGAATGCCCAGTTGCATCATTACGATTAATATTACAACTGGCATTCTTGTTTGCAGCCGCTGTTGGTTTTGCTGTTGCTGTTGTTCCTTTGCAAGAAGTCGGGACACACGTGGACTGAGCATTGCGTTCTTTACTTCTTTCGCCCAGAAACCTCGTGATGTCGAAAGCCGGCCCCTTTGAACCCGGCGGGCGAAAGGGAAAGTGGACATGCCATTGGTCCATGTCGCATCCACTGGCACAGTTTCCTCATGTGTGCGTCATAGCTGGTGTCATAGGTTTTGCTTGTCCTGCTCAACATGGATCCGCACCAAACTTCAAAATCAGAGATATGATTAACGGATTCTTATTTTGAGGACCCTCCTGTTTGGACGATCATCGGTAAATTGCAGTGCTGCGCCCGTCTGTTTTTGTGTGGGGTCATTCCTGACAGCCTCGGGTTCAGGAGAAGGAGGAACAGCTGGAAAGCACCGTTGCCCAAGGCTTCCGGGGCGGAAGCGCCGACATGCCTGGGCGTTACCCCATTAAACAAAACAAAAAAAAAGCGACTTCCAATGAAAGGCTTCCGAAAAATGATGTCCTCAACCCCCCTCTTTCGTGGCGGGCTTACCCCGATGTCCCTTCCTTCGCACAAGAGGAAAGAAAACAAATCCATCCCCGTATCCTGAAAGAGGAAAGAAAACACTACCCAGAAAGGGCTCCAATCTTAGGAGACGCCCCTCTATCCGAAACGCTGAATCTGACGGGTTTTCAGAAGGGCCCTTTCTGAGGTTATAGTGTAAGCATGGCCAGAGATGTGATTTCCTTCCCGGAGAGCCTGAGGATACTCGTATTTGAGGATGCGAATGGAGTCAACCGTAGGACGTCTGCGGACTGCTTGGCTTCACGTTTTGGTTTACGTCTAGTCACGGCACCAAAAGCTGAATCCTTTTTCTGCAGTCAGCATGCAAAAGGTGCACTAGCTGATAAGTGAGAGATGCCAACACGAGATGGGAAGGAGCCAAATGTCGATTTCGGCGCCTGTGGTGAACTTTTATGGTTTACCCTTTCATGCAAAAGATTCCAAAAGGACGGTGCGAGATCCAGACTGACTTTGGGGGGTGGGTTGGACATGGCTCCTTCGGTGAGCTACCCTGAAAGGGCAGAACGAGCTCTATGCTCTAGGGGCACCTTCCCCATTCTTCCAGGCATCCTTCTCTCTACAAAACCAAAACCCTGCGGAAACAGCTGCTTTTTGAAAAGAACGATGGTTGAAAAGAATGGGGAATCAACCCCTAGATATATGCTTTGGTGCTTAAGTACGAGTTCTCTTATTTCTAGCAACTTAGGACATCCGCCAGGATTCCCAGTCAGCCGTGGGCCCTTCCCTCAGGTCTTGCCACAGTCAGGGAGCTGGGCTATCCCATGGCCATCCTGCCCGCGAAGGATGGGGTCCAAATTTGGGCTCGCTCCAGCGAGGGTGGAGTCCTGTTTACTGTCATTTCAGGCGGTCAAACTGGGATCTTTGTTTGGGAAGTTTCTGGGGGTTGTCAAAGTCAGGAACTGCAAATCGTTGCTACCACTTGTGTCAGAGACTTTGATACTGGTAAGATAGTGGGGCCCGTCGAAGTCAGAAGTATGGGTCCTCAGAAACTTACGTACACTTCGCGGTCAAAGATCAATCGCTGAGCTGCAGGGCATGGGTGCCACGTTTGGGCAGGTTCGTGAATGTCTCAAGTGTTGCAGTAAGCCAAACATGTATTGCTCCCCACACACTTCCATCGGACGACCGAAGCGTCCCCCTCTCGCAGGCGCGGCCAACCAAGCACATATTACAATAGCTTACAAGCGAAGCCTTCCTTGCAATATTCAGGGATGCAAATGCAAGATGTCCCACAAACGTGTTGAAACACACCTGCAACAGCAAGCAACTTGATTGATGCGGATAGTGTCGCGCCTGCATTTCCTATTTCATTCACGTCTTTTGTCCCCACCCTGCGCGTTTCCGCAAAAGCTCGGAACAACTGGCATCCTTGGATTTCTTTCTTGCATTGGAGCCCCTTTTGGCATTCAAAGGGCAACCAAAAGAAACCCAACCATCTAGCGGCAGAAGTCCTTTCAAGAAGCATCCCGGCCCATAAATCTCTCCCCCACCCCCCCCCACCCCCTCCCCCATCCCCACAAATATCCCCTTCACCCCCCCCCCCTCCCCCTCCCCCTGGTGTGTCTCCCGTTTTTGGGTTGGGATCGGTCCAGGACCCCCTCCCCTTGGCGCGTCTCGTCCGCGGGCCCTCCGATAGGACTTTGCGCGGCTGAGCGGCGACGAGCTGGAGCAGTGCCACGAGGGCCTCCGGGACCTCGGCCTGCTGCGTGTGCTGGACTCCTCAGAGGCGACGGCCGTCGGGTCCCAAGGGTCGGGCCTTGAAGCCAAGAAACATGGCAAAAAAAATGTGAAAACACCAGGGCCTTCTGTTTTTTGGAGAATTGTGGAGCCTTGAAAAATGTTGGGACATGTGGACTATTCTTTTTGGGGGGGAAATGGCCTTGTTTAGGGAACATGTCGGGCCTTGAAGCCAAAAAATGTGGGGCCCACCCCCCCAAGCCCCCCCACAGCCAAGTTTCCCTCCAGAACAACAATATGGCAAGGAGTTCAAAGTTGTGCCAGCACCGGGTCGTTCAACAACTGCTTTTCGGTTGCTGTACCAAGGGATTTTTGGAGATGGTCAACGCCCGTGGGTTTGGTTGGGTGGGGTTGTTTAATTTGGTTTGATTGGTTGGTTGGGTTTGTCGACTTAGCTTTTTGTATCGGGCTGCTTGTTGTTTCATTTTTGGGCTGGTTGGTCGTTTGTTCCTGAGTTCATAGCAAAGGGTTCCCGCAATGAACCCGACCTTCCCCCCAACCCCCAATTCACTGGTCGTCGCATGTTTGCATGTGCGTCCGCAAGCGGTTGAAAGCATTTGAGCGCGCTGGCAAGCGTCCACGTGGAGAACAAGTTGATGTCTTGGGATCCAGATGTCATGACCTTTGCATCCGGTCCGAACTGAGCCAGCCCTTTCCTGCAAGGTCTTGTCAATTCACTGGCAACTGGTCGCCAAACGTCGCCGTATCGGTGACTGCCAGGAGATCCAGCAGTTCCACGCCATGGGGAATCATATCGCGCCATGGCCGTAGGGTACAAGTCGTTCCGCTTCACGAGTTCGGTGAAGCATTCAAAGATTGGTTCCAAATATTCCACGGTTCATTCAAACAGTTATATAGAGGAAGCTTTTTTCGGGGTAGGTATGTCGTTGCCAGAATGAATCAAACAGAATCATTGCCTGGACAGCTTATGTCAGGTTTTATGTGAACAAATGTGTACCCCGTTGAGAACATGTTGCAACATTGTTCAAAACCTTTGTGACCCTCGTGTTTTTCCATTTTGATCCATTTTTAGTCAAGGTCCCAACACCTTTTGGGCAACTGGGAAGAACCAGCGGTGACACTGAACACAGACAACAAACTCGCCGGCTTGGGCTCTGTTCATTCAAGGGTTACGGTAGATCTTGCGGGTTTTCACCGGCGAAAACGCGAGAGGTGGGGGCGGCTACTGTTGACCCCTGACTACTACCCCGCGGAAAGGTCGACTCGGTTTCGTGGGCCTGGCAATGAGAAAGGAATGTTTGGAAGGTTTGGCATCGCTCTCTTGTCCCGACCGCCATGAAAGGTACAACTTGAAACCGGCATCTGCAGGAGGTTCACACGTGAATATGTTTGGCACCGTGCGATCTTCTCTTTGCCTCTCACTTGAGCCAAAAGTACAAAAGTCACCAGAAGTCCGACAGTCAAGCGTTTGCCGGGGCAGGCATCCTCAACCAACAGACGCGGAGACAATTGTGAGTCCTTACATGTTATCCGTTTTTGATGTACGCATTCCTTTGATACCGGGCCTGGTTGGCGCACGGGGACTTCGGGCTTGTCACATTGGTAGTATTTGTGAAACCCTCACTGCCGCGGCATTGTCGAAGGTAACTTTTGACCAGTGCTTGGGCGGATCATGAAAAGGTCCAGTTTGAGTCCAGAATTTCTTGTGGGACATTCTGCACCAAGAGATGAAACCAGATCCGCAATGATTCGGGCGACGGCTGTCGCAGCCTTGCAGCAAGCAATTAGCAAGTTATGCCTGCCTCATTGCCAACATGTGTGTCAACCACGGGGAATAGTTGCAGCTTTCCAAGCAGGTGGTGTTCCTTTTGTTCCTGACAAACGTGCTGCAGCACACTGCGCTTTGGATTATCGCCTCACAAAACAATGAGTCGCCACTGGTCAGATCATTTGCCTCCCTTAATACGTGCGAAACGCTTGCTTGAAACCTGCATATGGAACAGTGATGTTGTTGCTATGGGTCCCTGGGGTGACACATTTCGAAGACAAGGAGAGGAATATGCACTTCTCCTCTCCGCATTGGTTCCACTCAGTGGCTGCTACCAACAAGAGGCTGGTAGCCTCTGTGTAGTTGAAACAGCTTGTAAGAGGATTGCTGCGCGGTGGATAAACAGCACGAAACCTACCGAGTTCCCCCCCCCCGTTCCTTCCCTCCCATTGCGGGCAAATTAGAATACTGCAAAGGGAGGTTGCGACCTCATGAGGCTTCTTGGTCCATTTCTTATTCAGTATTTCAGGTCGGTGAATTGCTATCCAGCAGGCAATCCTACAGGACACAATGTGCAGGGAATCCTTTCTTTTGGGTCTTGGCCAATTGTCCTGCAGCTGGTTTCTATGAAGCGCTCTTGGGTACATTCAACTTTTTGGGAGCATGATTATGTTCCCACTAGCATCATTTTGGGCAGGGGGCATAACCTGTGGCTCCATGTTCGGGTGGATGAACATCCATTTGCCACCTATTTTGATGTTCACCAGGAGTACAGGGTTTTGACCCACAGCCATTTTGGGCAGGGGAGTGGCCATCAAATTGATTCAGCCAGATTTCAGCACCTCGGTTCAAGATCTCAGGTCTTCTTCAGCTACCACTGGCCATCCAGCACCCGGCTGGGCCCGGACCAGGTCCAGCGGAGGGCCATGAACCACGCCTTGGAGCTCTACTCTGACAAAGTGGGCGCGGACATGGAGAACATCTTTATTTGGCTGGCACACTGGCTTTGAGAGTGGAGAGGGGGGCCTGCGGACGACTAATCTTTAAAAAAAGCTAGAACTGAATTGAACAACACTTTCCAGTTTTAGTGTCTAACCAGGTTTGAGAGTGTTTCCGGATCTGACCTCATGGGAACTGGGGAGGGAGGCGGGAGGGAGCCCAACTTAGGGCTATTATTTGGACCCTTCCCCCCAGTCCCCATGATGACCGGATCTGGCTTTCCCCCAGTAGGTCCATTGGTGGCCTGGAAGGGTGAAGCTTTTGGGGTCCTTTGGGCTGAAGGGCCATGATTAGAATCGGGTTGACATGAAAAGCTGTGATGGTTGCCTGTCAAAAGTAAGCAATATATCCAGGCCTTTTGTGCCCCTTTTCACATGTACTTAGAAAACCAAGCTTGGTCAGGATTATAGGGGAAAATTTGTTTGCCCGAAAAAAAACAGCCCCCCCGGATAATGTTTGTTGCGTGGGCCGGGTTGTTCTATTCCACGGGATTAGACCTGAGAAAAAGGCTGCCCATCGCCGACCGTTTGGCCTTTTGTCCCCTTTTTCTTGTTCCATTTTTTAGCCATGAGCCCAAAAGGCCAACCTTTTATTTTCGGTCCGTTGGGCCACTGAGAAGTACAGGCCCTAGGTTCGGCCTCGACCTTCAACTTCAAACTTTTGAGCAAAGGATAGCTTACTTAGCAACTTTGCGCAGGCGACCTCTCTAGGACCACCGTGCTTCGACACGAGTTCGGGTTCGATTGGATTGACGGCACTCAGAGGCATTTTGGCTTTCCCGAAGGAGTCATTGCCCAAAGCCATGGTATCACAGTTGCGGTGGTCGTGCAACAAAAGTGAGGCTGTTCTTTTGTGGGCTCAGCTTCGATGTGTGTGCGCGTGGTGTGCCATTCTGGACAACATCATTGAGTTCTGCTGTATTTGGCCAATCCTGCGGAGTCTGGAAGGTTTTCTGAAACTATACCGGGCACCTCCTCTGTGTTTGGTTTTGGCGACGTTTCCAGCTTTGCCGTCCTTGCCTGCTTAGAACACATGTCGCGCGGCTAAGGACATCGTGTCGATTCCACAGAAGCACCGGGGGGTGCAAGTGCTGGCCATCAACTCACTTTATGCTGCTTGGCAGGACTTGGCATCTCAAGCCTAGGCCCCCTTTCGGGGGTCTTGAAAAGGCAGGCAGGAGTTTGGACCCATGCAATGGGTTCCCGGTTGAGACAAGTCGTGTGAATGATGTTAGCTGACGACACATACGGTGAGAGCCGGTTTGCAGCTTGCCATCCGATTTGTGCAAGCTGAATCATGCATATCCCGTGCCGTGGGAGCAGCAGATTTGACGGTCAGTTGTGAAGCAAGATCGAGAGCATCACCCCAACATAATTTGGGTTGGAGGTGGTACCCCTGATGGAGGGGTCTTTTAATTCTGCTGTGGAAACATAGACCTAGTTCAATTGCCTTGGGCGGATTCAATTGCCTTCAGCGATGGTGTGGCTGAAAAGCCCGAATGCCTTAAGGTCTATGCATCCTCAGTGGACGCCTTGATCATTATCGCTCCTCCGACGGTCCAGGAGCAGACAGGAGAGAAATTGGGCAGCTTGGCACGCGTCTAGCTGGTGGGTAGATCATCCAGCAGGCATCTGAAAGAACGGGCCTTTGCAAGAAACGGAATCATGTCGATGTACATATATATATATATATACATACACACATATACACTCCAAGTCATCGTCCGATGGTACCGCTATTCTGCACAGCTGGAACTCTTTACTGGTCTAGACCCGTATGAATACGTACAATTAGATACATATACATATAGTGTACTGTACCCTCCCCACGAATTCCCCGCCTCAGAAACACACTGATATTGCCCTACACCCGAAAACATGGAACATACAGTGTTTTTGTTCTACAGCAATTGACACGGGCAATTGCGTGATGTGCCTTTTTGAGACTGATATTGTTTCACCTGTATCTTCCATCTCAGGAAAAAATAACGCACTTTCTGGCGACTACTGTTTATGGGAAGCTTCAAAAAAAAGCGGAGCTTTGTCATCATAAGATTTAGAACTCCCGGAAATTGGACATGTTTGTGCAAACATGGATTGCACATCTCAAACTTCTGGAGATTGGCAAGAAGCGAGCCTGACAGATGTGTCCTGCTTTGTGTTGTCACGTTTTCCCGGGTTTGGGTTTGAAAGCAACCACTGCACACCCAGCACTCAGCGCAAAACTGCGTCAAATTCAGCCCACATCAAGAAACACGGAGTTTCAGGTCAGGTGAATCAACATAATTTCCCTGTCTTCCGTGCTCTGCAATATCCTCTCGAGACACTCCTTCTTTTTGATCCATTGGTTGTCACTCCTAGATGTTGATCCTCGTTACCTTCCGCACCTAAAGCTAGAAAACTCCAAAAAAAGTCACTGGCATGTTCAGGTATCTGTTCGCGGGGTGTGGTGGTAGGTTAAATGCCACTTCTGCAACGGACACGCCTCAAAAGCTGACATTTGTGGTAAGTACGCCCTGCATCCAAAATCCATCCCTGAAAACGTGTTTGCACAAACAATTAATTTAAGAAAACAGAAGATAAACAAGAAAAGGCAAGATCCCGGCACCGATTTGTTGGATGGCATTTGTGCGCCTTTTATTTTCAGGGGAGCCCCACTGCCCAACCCAAAAGCCTTCGAGTGCCTCCAAACGGCCCCGAGAAGACCGGATGCGACAGGATGCGACAGGCGTTGGTTTTGATCGTTTTTGTTTGACCAGGTCAGCTTGGCATTCAGAAGGGTTTTTTAATGCGCGCCAACTCATTTTTTGCGACTTCGGACAGAGGGTAGTCCCTTTCTCTTTTTCTCTCGCGCATTGAACCTTTGATTTCTCCTGAGCACATTCGGCCGTGCGGCTACGGCTGATCAGCTACGAATGTTTCAATGGCTTTGCTGTTGCTGGCACCTGCTGGCACCTGCTGGTAGTTGCGTGTTGCCCAAGAGTAGTGAGAGGGCTGGAGGCTCGGTGTGCATCGAGGCCGTCTTGGAAAGAATCACAATTTTGGGGGATCTTTCCGGCATTTGGCAAGCTTCCCAGTTGTTTTTCTCTTTTTCTCCAATACGCAGTGTGTGTGTGTGTGCTTGCTTTCGCCAGAATGCATCAACCGAAACGTAGTGTCGACCCAGGATTAAAAACCCGCATTATTAGGGGGGTTGTTCCCTCCAAAAGTGATGAATCCCAACCAAATGGTGACACCCCCCTATTAATCAACCAGGGGTTTATTATTCCGGGGTTAGCATTAGCTGAGGCCTGGAGAGCTACAAGAACCGCGTGTGGACGCGCGTGGAGCAGATCGCGCATCTTTCCGCTCACGGCATGGAGTCCCTCTTTTTCTACCAGAGCCCCAGCTGCAAAATGGGTGTGGCTCAAAATTAAGCAGGAGGGACAAACCGCAGGTTTTGGTCCATTTTTCCACTTAATTACGAGGGTTCCAGTTTGGTACCGGTTTTTTGAGCCACAGCCGAATGGGGGCGGGGTCGACGGGTGGTCGGGCATGGTTCTTGATGCGTTGAAGGAGTGAAACGCTTTGAAGGACAACGATTTGCTACAGTTAGAAGCAGATGTCTGTGGGAAATGGAGGTAGGTTGCCACTTTCTGTAGCGATGGCATCGCCTTAGAGGTGTATCTGAGTGTCGGCACTTTGTGCATGGTTTGCATCCCATCCATCTTGTCCAACGTGGCCGCACCATTGACGTGAGTCCAAAAGGATTCACCAAGGGTATTGATGCCTCATGTGCTCTTCAATCGTCTTCAATGAACAGAAGAGGTGTCCAAATGAGCAGTGCCCCGCTAGTTCTGGCAAAGTTAGAGAGATTTGCTCCTTGGCTTGAGAGGGAAGTGAAGGCCTATGCTATGAACTGCAATCAGAGGGGGAAACCAGAGTCACTGGTGGTTTTACGCGCGCCTTTGCTGTTGACACCTTTTCAATTATTGGATGCCGCAGGGCCGGATATGCGGGTTCGGACAGTGTTCGGACAGAAGGCCGAATGATTCGAGAAAGGGCTTTCAGCCATGTGGTTCTGTTTGTTTTTGAGGGACCCGTCTTTGTGGTTTTGAAAGGGAAACCAAGTGGACAACCTCAGCCATGTGTTCAAACCACAGCTGCAACCGGCGCTAAGTCTTTCCGGTGTGTTTCGGTGCGATCTAGTTAATGATCCACGCCTCACACTCAAACACGCCCAAAGCCAAGCGCTTGAGGAAACCCACCCGGGATATAGATGTGCCCAAGTGACGCCCAGTTTTGTGCTCTTCTTTCTCCCCAGGGTTCGTGAGAGCCAAAGTGGTCATGGAAAACAAAGCAACAACAGACATGGGTTCATATCACACGCTATGTAATACCTGTGTCATCCTAATAAATTGTGGTAAACATGTATATGACTGCAGCCCGAGATGTGCCAGGTACGGAATGAAGGTTATGCATCAGTTTTGATAGCCTAAGAAACCAGAACTCGGGAGTTTTATTCTCAAGAACAGCAGCTTTAGATCATTAGGCCGTGGCCTCTTTACTTGCAACTCGCGAATGACAACTTTGGAACCGTTTTGGGATGCTCGGACATCAGGAAGTCCACAACCTCATGTCACCCTACAAAATGGACACCTTGGAGGGTCAATCATCCAAAAACCCAGTGGAACAGGGTTGTTGCTTGTTTCCTTTTGGTTGCTGGTTGTTGACTGTTGGTTTTTGCTGGTTGTGTCTTGTTGGTCGGAAGGTTTGGATGAGCTGTCTCGAAACCAAAAGCAAGAGGCTCGGAGTCGCAGCGCTTCCAGTGCTCGCAGGCCCAACGGCCTGGAGCCGGTGGACCTCCGTTGGCTGGAGGACGTGGTGCGGGTCTTTGATGCGAGCACCACCTGCTGCACTCAAAGGCCGGCCTGGATCGCGCGGATGGGCCGAATGGATCCACGAAGTTGGAATGTAGAGAGAAGCTGTGTACTCAGAAGGCGAGTCAGGGAGTGGCAAGAAGAGCAACAAGCACAAGCAAACAGCAGCAGAAGCAGCAGCACAAGCACAAGCAGCAGGATGCCCAACCGAGGAGGACTGGGTCTCAACAGGTATGTGTCAGACGGGCCAAACCTGTTCTATACCTCGATGCGAACACCTTACTTCCTAAGTCAATAGACTTTAGTCATTTTTAGTCACTTTCTGGGGCAAACACGAAAAGTCTACATACCATTATTGGCAGGCTTCCATTTGTTTGAATGTTGGGCAAACAACAAGTTGACTTTCCTGGTCAGCCCGCGCAAGTGAAAAACTATATACCTCAATGGTCTCTTTGAACCTCCGCCGTATTGAACTCCTCTTGAACACTTGGGTGTGAATTCTAGTTGGACACCGAAGCTTTGGACATCATTTAAGCAAGGATTCATGTTCACCAACCATTTAGGTGGTGTTCCACATTCAAAACCACCTATGAAGTGAGTAAACACTTGACCCTAGACAGAGATGGAGCTGCCAGGGCTTTCTTTTCACATGCAGGATTTGCATCTTTTGGACTGCCTCAGCATGGTCACCCCGACCGCATCATCTTCTGCTGGGTGGGATTCGGGTGGGTGGAGTGATGATACACACACGTTGCAATTTGCTACGTTGTCTACTTGGCCATCCAATCGATTTGTTCGTCACACCGCAGTCGTGTAGTCCATGCATGCGCTGTCCTTCCCTGCCTTGCTTAGCTTGTCTTGCCTGCTCTTGCTTCGGATCGCTTTGTTGACTGACAGTTTCCGCCTTCCGCCATCATCGCAACGCTGGCTGAAAGTCAACGTGCACTTTTTCCGGATTTGTCAGATTTTGTGCTTTCCCTACAGTTCACGATCTCTGTTGTGGCATCTCCCGCTTCTTTGGACGCAGACGATCTACATGAGCACTCACACTTGCTTGGTGCTGAGAAGAAACTCGAGGCTTGGGCAGCGCCTTGCGGCTTTGATTGTCTTGAGCCGTCGGCTGATTGCGTGCCGCTTGCAGGGGCATGGGGCCCGCCGCCAATCGCAATGACGAGGCCCAAGCAAGCGGTACGCAGGGCGCGACTCGACGCATCCACGCGTATGCGACGGCACACATGCGCAGAAGATCGCAGAAGCAACGCAGGATATGATCTTTGGAAGAAGCAAGGAAACTGTGCGCAGGAATCTTGAATAAGCAACGGCAATGAGACAAGAGAAAATATGGCCGCCCCAATAATTAGTAGCTCCGATTCATGTGGAGCCCGCTCAGCCTATCCGACCAAGCAAAACTGGGGTTTTGAAGCAGTGTCCAAGTTGCAGGGCCCAGGGTCACTAACAGCGCCAGCGCCTTGTTTTGGTGTTTGCTTTGTTTGGCTTCTTTATGTTTTGCCATTTCGCTTTGTTTGCTTTGGTTTCCGGTTCTGGGCAGAGGTGAGTTTGCGGGAACATTTCTCCTGAAAGATGTGTTTTTCTTCTCGGCTCTGGACAGAGTTTGACCTGAGATGCTTTGTAGGAGGCTGGCTTTTGTTGAGGATTCTTCTCCAGAGACCCACAAGCAGAAATTGCGCTGCAACTATGATTGCTGTTGCGAGGGGTGGGTGCGAGATGGGCTACCGTCATAGAATTCAGGCACCCAGTGTGTACGTGTGGCTCATTTACCAATCGGTCGAAATGAAACCCATTCATTCGGCTTCGAATCCCGACGAGGTTGCCCAAACGTCTCCTTCAAGCCACAACCTGAGAACGGCTGAGCTCCAGAGCGCCAGCTCCGGCTGTTCCACAACCCGGAAAGTTCAGAACCCCCGGGTCTTTTGAGCCGAGCGAGTGTTGAGGTTTCCCGGTGCTTGGGGGGATTTGCACCACCCCCAACTTTGATGGTCCGGCTAATCCACACCATTGCGTAAGCCCCAGGTTTTCAAAGCAACAGGTTACCATGAACGAACACCGGCAACAACTAGTGGTTTTATTCTCCACTGGGCGCAGAAGGGCCCGGAAGGTTTTCTGCACCGCGGCGGAAGGGCAGCTTTGAAGTAATTTCCGCTCTAAGCGCAAATGGTACGAGCACAGAGGCGAGAGAGTGTTTTTGTTGCAGTGGTGACAGGCGGTGGAGTAGCGGTACGCTGCTTGGACAACGTAAGGTCTAACCGGACCAAAGTTGGAGTAGTTCACATCCCCCGAGGACCACCGGGACAGCTCCTAGCCTAGAAGCTGTCCCGTGGAATCCTCAAACCTGTCCACTGTTGATACAGTGGTTTGGCCCGTACCGAGGCCCAAAGAATGTCCACCAAAGGGTCCCCAATGCGATTTATTCCGACCCTCCTGTGTGTGTGTGGGTGTGTCTTTGTTGATGGTTCCCTTTTCGGGTTGTGAAGGGTTGTCAAGGGAATCCAAAAGGAAAACATCCACATCTCCAAACATTTTGCCCTCCCCCCCCCCCCCCACAAAACAAAGAAACGCAAAGGTTATTCCGCCCACTACGCGAAAAGGACCCCCCGAAAGAAAGAAGCAAAGGTTATTTCGGCCCACCAAAGGAAGAACCCCTCCCAAAAAAGGGAAAGAACAGACCGGAAAAGGCAAGGTTATTCCGACCCACTAAAGCAAGGCCATGTACTTCTTGTTTGCCCATTTTCCCCGCACCAAAAGAAAAGAGAACAACAGAAAGAATCCGACCCACTAAAGGAAGAGAGAATGCTTCTTTTTCTTGCCGGAAAGCCACAATGGATGGTTTATAGGGGTCATTCCATTTCTCAGTCCCTGCCTATCGCACCAGCAAGTTTGGTTACCTGGCTGTGGCTCAAAAAAACGGTACCCAAAATGGAACCCTGGCTTCTGTTTAATTTTGAGCCACAGCCACCTCTTTGCATGTCGCAGGCACCAGCACTTCGGCAAATGCGACCGCGAGAGCCTGGTGCTGCCGCTCATCGGCCTCTACTATCGCGTGGCCGCCGCAGAGCGCCGCACCTTGCCCGGAGATCCCTTCGATCGGAGTGAGCGCTTCGATCCATGGCTTGGGTTTTTCTTTGGTGGTGGTGGGGGGGGGGGGGTTATGTTGTTTTTCTTGTTGTTTAAAAAAAAACAACACACAACATATAATATATATTTGGTGACAAGCCCAGCCACCGGTTCCTTAGCTTTGTTTAGATTTGTTTAGTCGGTTTAGTGGTTGGGATCCAATTTCACCCACAAGCTATTCACTTTTAGCAGGGGATCTGAGGACAGCCCAGTTGCCCCCCTTAAAAGCATGGCAGGGACGCCATTTTGTCATGATGACAATCCTTTAGAGGGTTCCCGAGCCACGTGGAGCTCCAAAAAAGGCGATCGTTAACATCGAAACCACCAGTCCATTGATCAACTTTTGGAGAGGAAATCCAGTGACTCCTGCTTGTTGAGGGTACCCTTTCTGGTTGGCTCAAAGAAACCAAAAGGCCAGGCAATCCGAGCATTTTATGGGTCACCTAAAAACAATACACACCCAAATTGCCCATGCTTTTGTTTGGCAGTTTCCCAACAGCATGCCATGAATGGGATGGGTTATGAACTCCTTCCCCTGTTCAACACCCATCATTTTCCGGTCGACTTTAAACCCACTAATCTGGGTGAATCATAGCGACCTCGCACGACCTCACCGCAAATGGTGGTTTATGTGGGGAATAGCCCCCCAACCACCGCAGGTTTCAGGATTCACCCAGAATCGTGTTGATTGGAGCCACTGCAAGTCCGCCTTGGAACTGCGCGCCTGCTTTTTTTTGAGCCAGGCGCAGCGAGGAAATGTATGGAGCCATGTCACTCAAAGGGAACAACACAAAGCACAAGGGCGAGCCCAAACAATGGAGAACCTGATTTTGGAATGGTGTTGAAAAGAAATGCCAAGTGGGAACCAACCATTTGAGGGCGCCCTGTGTTGCACCGTTTGATTGCGAATGTTGTTTGTTTTTCTTCCCTGTGAGATGAGAAGGCCAACCCCTTCCCCATCCAAATGAGGGGCCGTCAGTAGTTGTACGTCTAAACTTATGAACAGCGCCAATAGTTGAACCGCGCAATTGGTAAAACTGGAGCCGCGAAAGGCCGGCGATTGGACCGAGAAAGGGCAACAAATTTAATATTATTCTGTAATTTAGATGTTCAACAGAACGCAGAACATTTGGCGCAGGGCAAAGACCAGACGAGACTACAGCGCAGATGATTTTGGGAACCCTGTCAGTGGGTGTTGAGCTTTGCTTAAGTCTTGACAAGTCGAGCCGGAGCCCAGGCTTTCCTCGATACCATAGGTTAGAGTGGGGAGGTTTGAACAGCCAAGAAAGTGTGTGTTGGCAGAATGGGTGTGGAGCCAATGGAGCTTGGCCTATCCCTTGCGCCAAAGAGCTCCCTTCCTTTACGCCTTTTAGCTCGCACAGCTTGGCCACCTAGCAGCTTGGCACTTCCAATCCAGGGTTCTTCCTTTTCTTTGGGGTCCTACAAGCATCGTGGGTCAACATCAATGGTACCATTTTGGGGTAGGTAGTGGGGATTGGTAGTGGGGATTGGGATGTTCACTGGCGGTACGGGATTTTGACCCATGGCCATATGGCTCACATTGCTCTCGCCTCAGGCGGGGTGGACAGTAATGAGGGTACTGCCACGCTCTACGAGATGATGGAGTCCAAACGGGACAACGTATTCCCGCGAATCTTCGAACACGTCTCCGTGGTAAATGGCCAGGAGGCAACTGAGTTGACGTTTCTTTGTTTTTTTGGCAGAGGTTCCTCCCTACCAGAGTGGTTGTCAGAACCAATTAAGACCCCTAAGTAAGGTGCATGGGAGTTCGTTCAGTTTCAGCGAATTCGGTGTTGGGAAGCGCGAGCTGGTGTTCCCTACAAGACACCAAACACATGGGGTGCTGCAAGTGTCATTGCGCTCTTTGGGTGAAGCGGTTTCACTGGAGCTTGCTTGTCTTTAGTAGAGCATGTGGGAATACGCCTCCACCTGTCGCCTTGTGTTCCTTGTGAGTGCTTTCCTGGCAATCCCGCGGTTGGCTTCCTTTTGGTTGAGCTTCAAGCACCATCCAAGGGGCCCTCTCAATGGTTGGACACACCCACGTGGGAATAATCAACGCTCTCAGTCCATCCGCACATCATCCGCTTGTTCATTGATTTGAGAAAACCTCGCAAAGGGATTTGTTGCGTCCTCTTCTATTTGGGTGCCTGCAGTGGTCGGTCAGGTCCATTTGTATCACGGCATTTTTGGAACTGCCCATGTGGCTGTGGGTTGACGGTGTTCTAACCTTTGGGCCATTGCTGCTTTTTCTGCGGCTTCGGGTTACAGCAACCGGGGAAAAACTGATGGATAATATCCACAAAACGCACCCGGATGTCATTCTACTGGGACAAGTCGCCCGGAGCGATGCAAGAATTGGTCTTTTCCGAGTCCCTGAGTTCAGTGTGTCCAGTTTGGGGTGTGCAGCGCCAGGTTCGGAAGAAGAAAGTCCTTTTCGGGGACCTTCTGGAGCGCGTGGATAAGCACTTGCAGGGCATGGATACCGCCTGGGGCCTTAGTGAGAAACATGTGCCATGGTCATCGCGTCCCGTTACTTTGGGGTGGGTAGGGATAGTCATGGACCATGACCAACAATCATGAGCTTTGACCAGGGCTCAAATTGGCACAGAGCGAAAAGGGAGAGATCGGCTTTTGAAATGAGCCGCCTGGGATTGCAAAGCTGGGAACACAATCTCGTCCACAGGCACGAAGCGCTATGTCATGGTAGGAAGCCGTAGGGTGCAGCTTTTGTTCATGAAGTATTCCAAGAGGGCCATTTCTGACCAACTCTTTGTTGGAGCCGAAGAAAGGTGACTTTCTTGTAGGTGCGAGTGGTTCTTTGCAGGCCCAGGAATCCCAGAGGATGCAGGGTCGATTTATAAGGTACATGGCAGAATTCCATTAGTTTGGGGTTTGGGGGCTTTAGGCATCTGGGAATTGTGGCATCTACTTTCACCCTAGTGTATTTGCCCTAATCAACACTCCACTCAATAGACTTGAGGATGGCACGTGATTCTACTACCTTGAAGATGAAAGATAAATGAAGAGGGACAAATGGATGGTCCCACAAATGATTGATTTCTGCGTCCTTCTCAAGTCCCTTAAGTTCTCAAGTCTCTGGAGTCAGTAATGCAAGCACGTAGTACGATAGTGCACCAGGTGAAGATAGATGGCGCAGAATCCCTTTAGGTAAGAGGGGATGGAACTTAAGAGAGGGAGTTGTGCCATCCTTCACCCAACTAATGGAGTACCTGAGGTTTGGGACTTGGAAGTTCAAAACATCAGGGACTCCATGAGATTTCAGCGCATTCCATGAGCATTCCCGTGTGGCTATTTGATCTCAGTCCCAAAAAAAGGCTTGGATGAAGCAAGTTTGGTGGTTGCAGCAAAAAGTTCATCCGGCTCACGGGCCCTGGGCAACTGACACAGGACCTCCTCATGGAGTTCGTGCGTCACCCCACGGACGTCTCGGTGTCTTCGGCACGGCGCAACACGGGCTTAATGAGCCCCTTCAGCTGCTCGGATCTCCATGCGCGTGTGGAGAAAACGATGCGGGGAATAGTCGATGGGCCAGTGGGAACGCATGACTTTTAATCAGCTTGCACAAAAGGCCCTTTCTGCATTTGAGCCGGCTCGGACTCCAACCTGCACGCTTCTGTTGGTCGAAACATGTTCGTGCTCTCCGGGACTGTTTTTAACCAGCCCCTTCTGCTTGAAATACGGCCCAAGTGGTCGCCGTGCGCGAACCTGTTATTCAGGAATCCAAGGACGCTCCCTGGTTGAAAAGAGTGTTTGCTTAGAGCCGTTTGGTGTCTTTTTTCCCCAACGGATTCCCCTGTCTATTTTCCAGTAGGGGACATGTTCCACGTACTTTCCTTGAGGAGCGCAAGTGAGGTGTTTGATCCGAAATGCTGGGAGCAGCTGAACAAGAGCCAGACAAATGAAATCGAGAATTGGGGTTTGCGTCAAAGGGGGACCGTCCAAACAGGTTTCCTCAACCCCAAAACGGGCACCCGGGTACCCTCAGGAAAAGGAACACCCATCTATGATTGAATGGAATTGAAGTCCCCCCCTCCCTTCTATTTGAACACAAGCTGCCTTGTGTATTTGTTTGGTACGCCTTCTTTGGTGACAACCCGTGGTGCCTAGCTTCACCTTGTCAAGGTGAGACAGATACCTGTATTCCACTCATGGACAGGCCGAAAGGGAGTTAGACCGGGCTGGGCTAACATGAGGTTTGGTCAAAATTATCGGTAGTCTTTCCATTTGGGAGGGGGACTCACTCAAGTTTCTACAAAGACAGGGGAGCCACCCTCACTTCGGAAGTGACCAGTTTTTTTGTCTTCTCCTTTTTCTGAGGGTACCCCTAGTTTGGTTTGTTTTGGGAAACCAAAGGAAAAGCGTTGCACCCAAAACGTGGCGAGTGGTTTCAGGTGGCCGGGGGGGCGTCTGCTCCGCCACCTTGAGCGCCGATCGGGGCGTCGCCTCGGCCACCCTCAGCGAGCGCACGGCGTCGGTCGAGGCACGCGGAGTGGCGTCGGAGGCGGCGGAGGCGGGCGGGGGTGGGGGGGTGGGGGGTGGGAACGGGGAAAGAGATGCCGGACTTTTGGGCAGGTAGAGGGAACCCACCAGGGAGGAGGGACACCACAAGGGAACAACCCATTTGGGGGGTTACAATTGTGACTCACAGTCAGCCACAGGAAGGGGTGTTCTGATGGTGTGAAAAATGCATGTTTGTTTTGAACAAATGCATGTCAAAAATGCATGTATTATTTGGTCGTTTTTAGGGCCTTGATCAAAATGCATGTCACAAATGCACGTTTTATTCAGGGTCTTGCGAAATGCATGTCGTGAGTGCATGTTTCGTGGGGGGCCTTGACCAAGATGCGTGTCAAACAATTATGTTTCATCCGGGGTTCTGCAAAACACATGTCAAACACGCAAGTTTCTAAGGGTCTGAAATGCATTAATGAAACATGCGCAGGGAGCAAATGCATTTTATCAAGGCACACATGCATTTACTGACAAAAGCAAGCACTGTCTCCCACACACACACACACACACACACGGGGGGTTTCTTCCGAAAAAAAGGCAACTGCATTTTTAGCGGCCGACATGCATTTTTTCCAGAGCTGTTTTTTGGGAAACAACATGCATTTTTGACATGTATTTTTCTGGGGGTCAAAAGCACACGCATTTTTGACATGCATTTTATCACCTCTGGACAAAGCTCAAAATCAAGCGTTTTCCTCAAGAAAATGCATGTGTTTGGCCTGTGCAAAATGCAAACACATTGAAACACTCGAGGAATATGCATTTTCTGGATCCAACATGCATTTTTCTGGATCCAACGATCCAACATGCATTTGTTTGGCCTTGAAACAGCACTCTTAAAGCAGCATTTTCCCTGAGAAAATGCATGTGTTTGTCTGGGAAAATGCATGTTTCATGCATGTCAAAAATGCGTGGTTTTGTTGATTCCCATAAAACACATGTCAAAATTCATGTTTTTTTTTCAAAAAAAAGCAGCTCTGGAAACAATGCATGTTGGCCGCTAAAAATGCAGTTGCCTTTTTCTGGAAGAAACCCAGTGTGTGTGGGAGACAGTGCTTGCTTTTGTCAGTAAATGCATGTGTGCTTTGATAAAATGTATGAAAGAAACACGTAATTGTCGAGGAACGTGCGTGTCTTTTGGACAGAATGCACATGTTCCAATAACAAGTGCATTTGTTTCACTAAGTTTGCATAATTATCTTGCAAATAAGAGCATTTTTCCAAAAGTACAAGTGCATGTGTTCAAGGGAAACATGAACACTGGCTGTGTGACACACTCAGTGTTTTTTGATCACGAACGTACTTTAGTAAAACTTACCTAGTTCTGTCGGAACATAGCACAAATCTGTTTGGCACTTGCTGGACAACCTGCATTTTCAACATGCATTTTGAACATGCATTCTTTTGATTTCAACATGCATTTTTGTCAGAACTGTGTGTGGCTGAAAAGTAAGTCATAAGGTTGCAAGTTAAGAATCACACAGCTAGACAACACCCAGCTAGACGAAGAACAGCAACATGATACAAGGGGTTGAACAACTAGACACATGATTCAGGGGACCGGTTTGACAAGTTCGCATAAGCAGGTTCCGATCGCTGACAACCGTCATGATAGTTTGTTGTTGGCAAAGCGAGAACGAGAAGCCCATGTCCACTTGAGAAAACAATTAACATGGTCCGCGGCTCACATGTCGGACATAATTATGCAGCCAGCAGCGCCTTTTTGGGCGCTTCGGCCCGTTCAAAAGGAAATTCAAGAGCGCCCGTTCTGCTCAAAATTGATAGGATTTACTTTTGAACAACCCTCGCATTTTGTCTCAAATTTTGGCAACCTTCAACAACAGGCTTTGATGTCAGTGTCAGTGTGAATTTCCTTAAAACCGCCCACACACGGGGTACCCAAAATTTCGACACTCTGAAGTTGGGTCAGGGGAGTCCTTTTGGCGATGTTGTCAATAAGTCCTTACCTGTCGCTTGTGTAAAACTCCTTTTTGGCAACTTGTGCATGTTACACTGTGTACTGTTACACTTCTTTTTTTTACGTCCGCCAGCCATTTTAGAGGGGCGCCCGATTCAGATTCATAGTCGATGTTTTAATGAGTTACGTTGTGTGATGTATGTTGTTCTTGCACAGGCAGTGTTCTTCATTTAGCCCTGGTCACAGGACAAACTTGACATCCCAGAAATGGGCGATCAGACTTTGAGCATTTGCAGCCATGTTTGGCATCCAAGAGTAGACATGTGGGAAAACATGAACCTTACCTACAGAAGCAACTCAAAACAATAAGCTTGACCATGTTGGGCCTCTGTCCAAACCACGGGGAAAATGGCCAAACATCACATGTTGCCAACTCAACAGCCAAGTTAGTTGCATTTCAACAGCTCCCTGAATTCACTCAGATCTGACCAGCTGCACCAGCGAATATGGAGAGCCCCGCCAAGAGAGCCAGCATGCATGTTTCCCAAGCATCCCGAGAGGCTCGATGACTTTGCACAGCCCCATTACTTTATCCACAACTCATATGGTTTTGTATGTGTGCTATGTTGAGGATGAGCCAAATCTTATGCAACTCAAGCAAGAGCAACCTAGTTTTCACGGGTACCGTGAATACGCTGCCCGATTTGTTGTTGCATTGCACTTCAATAATATTGCAGGATTTGTTTGCTTCACGTTTGAGCTACTGCCTTTGTTGCGTGCCAGGGTTGATTTCGTGTTGGTGTGCCATTCAACCAAATAGTTGCATTTGGAACGCGCTCGACAGGCTTCGTAAATGGATTTGAGTCTGTGGCACATGGATTCGGCTATGCGCCAGGTTTCAGGAAGCATCCTCTCCCCCTCGTTGTACCCGGTGATCCACGAGGCTCGCGCTTTTTTCTAGCGGAGACTTGAGTTCCTTGGACGCCGACCTAAGTCTCTTCCCAAAGGCAACATGTGAGGGATGTGGTCCCATGGATATGGTCCCTGCCACAACTACTATTCCTCGGGTGAATGTGCCAAATGCCGTGGAAGCAAAAGCCGTGAAAGGCTCCTTTATGGTCCATGGCTTTTGCTACAAACATACGGCAAGTGGGGTGTATTTGTGCGGGCGGGCGCGTGTGGGCAGGCGTGTTGGCGTGTGGGCGTGTGGACGTGCCTTTGTGCGTCCATTCGTCAGTGCGTGCGTGTGTTGCGCGTGCTCGTGCTCGTGCTCGTGCTCGTGCATGTGTGCGTGAGTGTGTGTGTGTGTGTGTGAGTGAGTGAGTGAGTGAGTGAGTGAGTGAGTGAGTGAGTGAGTGAGTGAGTGAGTGAGTGAGTGAGTGAGTGAGTGAGTGAGTGAGTGAGTGAGTGTGTCTGTGTGTGTCTGTGTGTCTGTGTGTCTGTCTGTGTCTGTGTGTGTTTGTGTGTTTGTGTGCTTGTGTGGGTGCGTGCATGCGTGCGTGTGTGTGTGTGTGCTTTGCGTGCGTGCGTGCGTGCGTGCGTGGGTGTGGGTGTGGGTGTGTGTGGGTGTGGGTGTGTGCGGAGGTGTGTGTGTGTGTGTGTGTGTGGGTGCATGTGTGTGTGTGGGTATGTGTGGGTGGTTCTATTCGCTCTTACTTTCTTTCTTGCTTGTTTTGGTTTGTTTGTTTTTGTGTGCAGGTGCCCGTGTCTATCAACACGCAACTTTGGGCGAACCATGCTTCGATTTACCAGTAAAGCCGGCTTTTGTCTTTGTATAGTTCTCTTTATTTTTCTCTCCATCCGGCCCTTTCGTCTCCTCTCTTTCTCTGTCGCTCGCTGACCCCAGGAAAGTGATAAAGCTCCAAACCATATTTTTTGAAGGTCGACCGCGCCAAAGTCCACGGAGGGTTCCGCAAGCAAAGTGAGAAGCACACAGACAAAAAGCACCGAGTTCTCGAAAGTCGACCCCACAGGCCCCAGAGGGTTCACTGTTTGATTGCAAAGCAGTGCGCGTGGCCGTCTCAATGGTCCCGTCTCCTCACCCGCTCCAAGACCGCCTCGGAGCCGCAATTTGCGCACCTTCGAAGTAGTCCAACTCACGCAGACTGCCAGGTTTTCTGCTCGCTTCTATTCCCGAGCCCTTGCATTTCCTAGCTCTTCACACGCAGTGCACACATTCTCAAAGAGGGTCAGTGCATCGTCTGTACACGCGGAATTCGGATCGTCTGTACACGCGGGACCGGATCGTCTCTGCACGCGGGCCTTTTTTGCCCCGGATCGTTTGTACACGCAGTGCTTACTGCTATGCACAAGAAGGGACAGGGGCGTTGACAGCTGCATGTTTCCTTGCCTTTCTGTCGTATGAACATAGGAAATGTTGTGTTCCGTTGTCTCCTGTGCGGTTTACCTCTGTCAGCCGCTCTCAATTTTGCTCGGGGTAAAGAATGTGGTGTATATGCATTAAAGGTTTGACAAGTCTCTTGCACTTCGTGTGTAAATCAGGGGGACAGACTTTCGCCCGGCTTCGCTTTCACCCAACCCCCACCCCCACCCCCACCCCCACCCCACCCCCCCTCCCCAATACCCCACCCCATCTGTTACGCGTGAGCGGGTGCGCTTGCTAGGTGGCAGGCATGTGCGCAGTGCTGGGCGGGCGTGTGTGAGCGGGTGTGCCCCACCCCACCCCAACCTCCCCAAAGCCTGACCCCAGCCCAGCCCACCCTGAGCAGGCGCTCATTAAGGCGGCAGGCATGTGTTGCACGTGAGTGGGCGTGCTTATCAGGTGGCAGGCATGCGTGCAGCGCTGGGCGGGCGCGCGTGAGCGGGTGTGCTTATTAGGTGGTAAGCGTGGATGCAGCGCTAGGCGGACGCGCGTGAGCGGGTGTGCCCCACCCCGCCCCGCCCCAGCCCCCACCCCCACCCCACCCTTCCCCAATACCGCACCCCATCTGTTGCACGTGAGCGGGTATGCTTATTAGGTGGCAGGCATGTGCTTACCATTCCCCCGCCTCCCCACCCACCCCCCACCCCTTCGGGCTACTCTTCCGCATGCGTGGAAACAGCGCTGAGCGGGTGCACTTGAGCGGGTGTGCTTACCATTCCCCCCTCCCCCCCACCACCCCCCCCCCCCCACAGTGCTGAGCGGGCGCACTTGAGCGGGTGTGCTTACCAATCCCCCCCCCCCACCCCCCCACCCTGCCAAAAGTGTGTGTGTGTGTACAGATGAGCCAGATGACAGAAACCTTGTGTGCGCAGATGATCCAGAGTGCATGGCGCAATAAGTGAGGAAAGCCTGTGTGTACAGATGATCCAGATTTGTGTGCGCAGATGATCCCCTGCCCCTCAAAGAGCGCCGACTCTATCAGTTTGAGTATCGTAGAAGTTCTCGTTAAACTTCCATTATCATGTTTGATCATGTCAGATACACTTTGTGATGTGTGTTTTGTCTCCGCTTTTGCCGTGCCGCGGATGAAAACATTGGCCAGCGTTATCCACCAGAAACCTTGTGCAAACGCTTCTGGCAGCATTTAGCGCCAGAAGCCGCAAAAGCTGCAACACAGAGTCAGCTTAGCGTTTGCATGCTCGCAATGCCCAGGCCAGCATAAAGTGTCAAGGGTTTGTTTGCTCTTTGAATGCCGTTTGCAGTTTGATCCGATAGCCCAACCGGCATAGCTGGTGTGGGTCAAAGCACTTGAACATCAAGTCTGCTGCATCCGAGTTGTGTTTTCTCGAAGTCGTAAGGAAGCAAAGCATTTGGTGGAACCATTTGAGTTTGTCTCCTCGGAACTTTTCCAACCTATGGGTCTCCGTTGAGTTCACATAGGCACCGGTGAACGAGCGTGAGCCAACAGGCAGGAACACTTCCAGCAGGTCAAAAGCCCTGGCAGGACTCCGTTATCTCTTCGCCTCTCGTCGACGACGAGCATTTGGAGGCACAGGAAGGACAAGATCATGTTCACAGACTCTTGAGGCGACAAGTAAATCCGCAGAATTGTTTTGCACAGGGTATTGCGGTTCTTGTTCTCTACACTCGCCTGCCCCCCAGGGCCTCAAACCATTGGTGCCAGAGTTTGGTCCCATGCATGCGCCCAGCAAGTTCCTCTTTGGACCCCACAAGGGACCCACCCCAGAAAACGGTTCCTCTCCGATGTCTTTGGGCTGAACTTTCAGAAGAGTTGGGCAGAGTACGGTGCGCAGTTGTTACAGGCCGACAGGAGTTATTCGGGTTCCATTGACACATTGAAGACGAGATGTTAACATGTGCGGTGTCCAAACTGTCGTTTGCACCTCTTTTTGGAATTGTTTCTTGTACATCTAAAGGTTTCAGCCGGATCACAGCTTTGTATCACTGCACAAACAAAACATCGCGCAGATCATCACGCGGATGTAGCTCAGGCAGGGGACCGGTGCTTTCTTTGGATGGGCGGGCGGGTGCCAAGGCAGATGGCCTTGAAACAATATCATTTTGGTGGTTCCCAGAACACAGCGCAGTCACGACCAGATCCCACCAAACTCCAATCAGCGTTTAGCCAGTTTCCGGTCTTCTGCAGTATATACCTTGTTTGCAGGCAGCTTTAGATTCGAGCGTAGCGGAGTGGCGTGGCAATGGAAGCACTCTTGCATGTCAGACTGCCGAGGGCTGAGAAGTGTAATTAGGCCGGATTTTGGACATGTGGCTCATGGGCTTTTGAAGCGTTTTGCATTCAGGCCTAAGCTTGAAGCTGCTGGTTGCAAAAATATGACCGGTTGTGCCATGTGTTTGTTCAACCAACAGATGCATCGGATAAGGTTTGCAACCGGATTGGTTTTGGATTTGGCGTTCCCTAGCATTTCAATATCCGGCTAAACACGCGTTTGTGAGGTAAACTTGCTGAGCAAAGCGCAAGCCAGTCTTGCAGGTGCATAGCGTCTTGGGTGTCCCTACGCTCCAGCATGTCTTCATTGTATGTTTACAGATTCCTCGGGGAACTTGTGTTGCCAAGAATTCCTCGGGGAACTTGTGTCGCCAATCTTATATAACAAGTCAAGCTGCTTGCCATAGTTGTTCGTGTTTCAGACTCTGTCAGACGTCCATCCACTTCATCGAGTGGCTGGTGCCTTTCAAGTGGGCAATGAGACAGACATGCGACATGCAACTGAGGCAGGGTTCGGCGTTTGCCTTCCTTTTGGGCACACAACGATGCTGAAGAGGCCTTCAAAAATGAGGGGAGCAACCGAGGGGTCAAAGGCAGGCTAAGAGCGGAATCCACGTAAAGCCTGGAGGAAAAGTACATGGCTTCCCGTTGTGACGGGAAGCACTAGGTATGGGGTAGCATGATAGAATGATAGGCCTTATCGAGAAGTCAACCCCATAGATCCGAGCCCCAAAGTGTTAGCCTCCCTTAAGCCGAGGATAGGAAGAGGGACAAAACAAGCCCTGCAAAGTGCGGTATGTCAATTGTTGAGTCTGGCCAGGCTTTTCTGCTCAGATGTGTGTTTCCATATTCGCTGCCAACAAAAAGCCGCAGCATGTGAAGGGGTGTCCCTTTCAACCCAAAGTGTCCATGATTCTTCGGCACCATCCTTGAACCAACAACTCACGGTGTGGCGTACTTGATGCAGGCCGGGGCTATTTCCGCCAGAGCCGAAGAGCTGTCCAAGACAGAGTGGCCAAGGCGTTTCACCCGTGGTGTCTGAGAAAGTGGGTAAGCAC